GCGTAATAATCACTTTAATGTAGCTTGCGCCAACAGTTGTACACGGAAGCAGCTCCGGGCGGATGAGGTATGAGGTCGGCTTTGCGCATGCGCTGCTCAGAAGTGATGAACGCAGAAGCGCAGGGGAGAGAACAAAACAAAACAACGGTCACTAATTAGAAGTACAAAACGAGGATTTGTAAAGAAGAATGTTGGAGGATTTCGATATAAGCCAAGAGGAAACTGGTTTTCCTTTGCTAAAGTAAGGAAACTTTGCTTACTTATCTCCTGTTAACAAACGATGGTTTTCACGAGACTCAGCATGCGCAGCGCTGACCTCATACCTCATCCGCCCGGAGCTGCTTCCGTGTACAACTGTTGGCGCAAGCTACATTAAAGTGATTATTACGTTTTGAATATGGATATTTTTCTTAAAAAAACACATCGATTAGCTACAGAAGGCCTTTGTTCACCCCCCGGGGCTGTGTGAGGCACTTTTTTTTTATGGCTGGGTGCTTTTTATTTAACTTTTTTTGGACTGATGCATGCAACACCCGCTGAGTGCCATGAAACATCTTAAAAGATCAAAGACAATTTTTAATATAACTCCGACTGGATTTGTCTGAAAGAAGAAAGTCATATACACCTAGGATGACTTGAGGGTGAGTAATTTATGGACTAATTTTCATTTTTGGGTGAACTAACCCTTTAAGCCTCTTAACTTCCTAATGGCTAATGAATTTCATCCTTTATAATGTGAAATCCTCTATACTTTAAGGTGCAAGGAGCTGGTTCTGGCCACAGTCCGGGCGTTCTTCGACCTTATTGAACCTGAAACAGGGCAGGTGAGTCATGTCCTAATACAGTGGGAGTGTGTGTTTAAGGTGTTTTATTGACTCGTGTTTCTCTTTAGTTCACAGAGAGTCCTGAGAAGAGAATGTCAGTGCTGAACTATCACTTCTTTAGACATCCAGTGCTGCAGCCTGGAAGAGCACAGGATGCCCCTGTCACTTTCTCCGGTCTGTGTTTGTGTGCACATGTATATTTATAGGCTTATCAGTTTTCATCACAGCTGGAAGATAATATCTGATTCTCCTTTTCCTGCTATTTATATCCGAATCTGTTCATCCATCCTTGCAGCTCCTGAGGCATGGAAGGAGGTCAACACACTCCGTCTGTTCTACAGTGCCCCCAAGGTGACAATATGTTTCATCATCTCAGGCAAAATTATGCCAGCAGCATCTCTCTGAACGTTGCACTAATGTAAACCAACTCTTGGCAGGAAGCTCAAGTCATGTACTTCCTGTTTGCCCTCTCCAGTCGAAGGAAAGCCTACAGTCATTTCCACTGCCGCAGTAATAATATGGTGAGAGAGACCAACAGCATCACACCCAGAAAATTTTTTAATTTAAATGTAACATTTCGATTTAAATGTCACTAAACATTTGGTGAAATTAGGTCTGTTTAAGAGCATTAATTTTAAATCTCTTTACGTGGTGTCCCAGTTATGAAGAAAATGTGCATTCAGATGTGATTTAATGTTAAAATTCTTATGTTTTAAAACTCTGGTCAAATATTATGAAGCAAAATCATACTTGTAAAAAAATATTTATTATTATTAAATAATAAGCAAAGTAAGTATATATTTTGCAGGAAAGTGCAGCTTTTCCATTATGTAGGCTGTTGATGGCCAAGTTGTGATTTTCTTTGTTCCTCGTGACTTGCACTCTTAAAAATAAAGGTGGTTAAAAGGTTCTTCACGGCGATGCCATAGAACAACCATTTTTGGTTCCACAAAGAACCATTCAGTCAAAGGTTCTTTAAAGAACCATCTCTTTCTTAACTTTTTATAATCTGAAGAACCTTCTTTCGCCACAAAGAACCTTTTGTGAAACAGAAAGGTTCTTCAGATGGTAAAGGTTCTTTATGGAACCATTTAGTATGTACATGTTCAACAGGAAATGACCAGCTGGCTGTATGGCTGTACACAGATGAGTGGCTCGATTTGGTGAGTAAAATAAACCACATAAATTCCTCTCAAAAAGAAATAATTACCACCAGGCCCGTACAGAATCCACACTCGTAAAGTTAGCACATTTTCATAAGTCTGGTGCATTGCACACATGTTGATCCATACCATCATTAATTTGGACTCTAGTTTATAATGTAAATTGTATAGTGTGTGTTATATTATTTGCTTTGTAAATTGCTTTCTTATCTATTTTTCCCAATTACCCAGTGTTCAGGCAGTAGATCTCTCATCTCAGACAGAGCTTCTTCCAGCCTATAAGGTCATTCTAGTTTATTCAGTAACACATTATATAGCTACATTTAAAATAAAAATTGTTGTAAAAATGGTCTGTGTTTCTTTATAGGCTGTTACAGTGAAAATCAGTGAACTTTTGTCTGTCTCTCATCTCATCATTGACGCCTCAAACCCCAGTGGAACAGAGGTTAGAAGTTAACTTACAGTCCACATTATCATGTTCGTAATGAAAACTTGCATTACAAGACAGACCACATTAGCAGACGTTTCCCTTCTTAAAACATGCATTCAATGGTTTGTTAAAATAATTTGCGATGAGCTCGATGTTTTAGATGCTTTCTAAATGCTTGATTGTCTGATTGTAGTTTGTAGTCGAGTGTGAGCTGCAGAGAGAGGAGAGTTTGACTGTCTCAGTGCAGGTGCCTCATGTGCTGTCCTTTGGTGAGCCACTGAACTGCATGCTTGTGTTTGCATTTTACTTTCAAGGCATTTACCAGATGCTGTCATACAGAGCAGTGCTTTTTAGTTGCCCATTTTGCCTTAACGACAGCTATTTTTACACATTGTTAACATAAAATAGGCCTGTATAAAACAATGTAATAATCTTACACTGTCATTCTTTAATAAAATAATAATAAGTTGTTGTGTTTATTCTATGTGGATGCTTTAACTTGTATGTGACGGTTTGTAGGTCTGACTGTTAGTGACATCAGCATTAACTCCTCTGGGCTGCTTCATACACTACAGCTGCAAGACTTTCATCAGGTGATCGCTCACAGCATTCCCTGTTGTTCTGCTGTCCTTCCCTTTGAACCTCAGATTCTCCATAGAATTTATTCCTCTATTTTTCAGATGTCCATTCATAGTAGAAGCTTTTATAATGGTACAAATCCCATAATGGTCTTTAGAATAGTTCCTTAGGTTGATGTTCTATTCAGTAATCTGTTACACCCTAATCTTTAATTAAAATAAGACATGTACCCGAAAGCATAATAAAAGTGAATTTGTTTGTTCCTTCAGCTCTATCAAGCTTTCAGAATAACAATCACTAGTCACTGCAAAACCACTAAAGGTAACCAGTTATTCAGCTTTTTCTGCCAGAAATGAAGCATGATGAATTAAAAGTTTCTGTAAATACTGTATCTGTGTTGTGTTATACAGACAGACTGCCCAGTGTGTACAGACTGAGGGTACCTTGGTTTCGTGAAGACTCCTTTGATACGGCAAGGTAGAAAGAGTCTTGTCATTAATCAGCTAACTTTCCTCAGCTCTGTTTTTGCGGCAGAGTACTGATGGTTGTGTTATTTATGACTTTCTTTTTTTTCCCACCAAAGTATTCCTTCGGTATCTGACATCTACAGCATGCTTCACACCAGCCGCCCAGACAACGCCTCCAGTGCCCTCCTGCAGCTCCACACTGCCCCCAACTGCCAATACAAGGTATTTCATCCACATTTGTTGTTTTCTCAAAGGCAAACTTATCAGTTATCGGCAACAAATTTTGTATTTTGTCTTTATAGGTGTCCATTCGGACTTCGTTCCCCAAAGTGCTTGGGCAGGTGTGCTTACATTGTGGTATTTCATTTGGCATGCTGTTAACTTTCAACCTCAGAGTATTCCTCATATTCAAAAGGATTTGTTTTTCTTTAGATTCTGCGTTTCTGTGGTCCAGTTCTGCCTGTCTACTCAGCTGTAGTGCTTCTTCTGATGATCAGGGCTCAGCTGAGCTCCATCAAAAGATCTGGGCATCCTGCTGGAATCCAAGAGGGCATGAGTAAATCGTTACAGCTCCACAAACTGGAACTGCCCATCCTCCTGCTGCTGCTGCTGCTCAGGTGATTCCTGATACAGGAGATTTTTTCTTTCAGGCAGTGTTCAGTTTTGACAATACAAATAAATTTTTGCCTGCGAATTATACAGTTCTAAAATGTTTACAGTATATATTTTTCTAATTTTCCCCCTATTGTTCTACCATAGGCAGAGCTGGTTTCAGGATTTCTGGTCCTCTCTGGGACTCCCTGCGGTGGATTCTCTTCCTCTAAACTCTGTGGAGGATAAATCCCAGGATCCAAAGGCCTCTGTGCAGGAATGGCCCCGTATAGTGTCCCCACTGCTCTGTGTGCTAGGCTCATCCATTGCATTCTGGGGTAGCACAGTCCTCAGAGTGTTTGTCTGCTTCCTGTCCTTTTTTCTTGCTCCACTGCACAGGTAAAAGTGTTAATAGTAAGTGCTATTGTAGTAGCTTTGTAGTAGGTGCTCTAAATAAATAAATAGATGATTTTTGAAGTGTTATGTTTTATCTAAATGTAGATATTTTGATCTAAATCAAACATCAGACAAAATGAACACTTGTCATTCTGTGAGTTCAATAATGCATTTTTTTAAAGAAAGCAAGGATGCATTAAATTGATCAAAAATTATAGCAAAGACATTTATAATGTTACGAAAGGTTTGAATTTCAAATAAATGCTTTTCTTCAAAATTTCTGTTCATCAAAGGATCATAAAAAATGTATTGCCGTTTCCACCAAACTTTTAAGTAAAACGACTGTTTTTAACATTGACAATAATAATAATATTTTTTTCTTGAGCACCAAATTAGCGTATTAGAATGATTTCTGAAGGATCATCTGACACTGAAGACTGAAGTATTGCCTGCTGAAAGTTCAGCTTTACCTTTAAAATATATTAAAATTTGAAACAGTGTGTAATAATATTATTACTATCGGTTTTGCTGTATTTTTGATCAGATAAATGCAGCCTGCTGAGCAAAAGAAACTTTCAAAAGCCAGAGAGAAAATCCTTATTGACCATAAACCTTTAAAAGGAAGTGTGAAAACACATTCAGTTCACATGCAAACATGTTTTGTGTGGATTATCTTTTTTTAAACATGGTCTATAAATCTTAGATGTTCATTAATAATTTAATATAAATATTATTAAGTCAATATTTTAACATATAATGCAGTACAGCATACAGTATTGTACTGTGGTTACAGGACATAAAATACAGCCTTCCTTGTATAAAAAGTATGTACATTTTGATCTAAAGTCCTGATGTTGAATTACCAAAAAAAAAAAGTTATGTATATGTGTATATACTGTATATATATGTATATATGTATATATATGTGTGTGTGTGTGTGTGTGTGTGTTATAACAACCACCCCAGTGCAGTTAATAGATGACACTGTCAACTTTTTGCCATATAATCTATTTAATAACTATGTTTTTGCAGATCTTTTCAGAAATGTTTCCATGTCATGTGTGTGTGACTCTGTGTTTGTCTGCAGACCTTCAGTGTCCCGGGATTGTGGCACGCTTCGTCTTCATTCTCAGATTCTCCTGATTATCTTTTTAAACGTGCTGGGAGGCGTCACATGTGGAGCACTGGCTCTTATGGTCTCCTCTCTTCTCCACCTCTACAGGGTGAGTGATCTGTCCATCCGTCATCAAACCCTTTCATACCTACTCCATATAAAGTTGTGTTAGTGTTGATTAGCGGTGAGCCTAGAGAGATGTTTTTTTGACCTTGTGCTGAATGCTTGACTTAAAATATTACTACTGATGCTTAAAATACAGGTGCATCTAAAAAAATTAGAATATCAAGGAAAAGGTCTTTATTTTTTGTAATTTAATTCTATTCTAGCTTCATTGCACACAAACTGAAATATCTCAAGAGTTTTTTGTTTTAATTCTGATGGTTACGACTTACAGCTTAGGAGAAAAAAAAAATCAGTATCTCAAAAATGTAGAATATTTTCTCAAAGATCAATCAAAAAAAGATTTACAAAACCGAAATGTTCAAGATCTCCAAAGTAGGTTTAATTATGCACTCAATACTTGGTTGGGGCTCCTTTTGCACAAATTACTGCTTCAGTGCGGTGTGGCATGGAGGCGATCAGCCTGTGGCACTGCTGAGGCGTTATTGAAGCCCAGGTTGCTTTGATAGCGGCCTTCAGTTCATCTGTATTGTGTGTCAGATGTTACTTATCTTCCTCTTCACAATACCCCATTGATTCTCTGTGGGGTTCAGGTCAGGCGAGTTGGCTGGCCAATCAAGCACAGTAATACCATGGTCAGCAAACCAGTTAGAAGTGGTTTTGGCACTGTGGGCAGGTGCTAAGTCCTGCTGCAAAATGAAATCAGCATCTCCATAAAGCTTGTCAGCAAATGGAAGCATGAAGTGCTCCAAAATCTCCTGGTAGATGGCTGCATTGACTCTGGACTTGATAAAGCACAGTGGACCAATACCAGACGTCACGGCACACCAAATCATCACTGACTTCAGAAACTTCACACCGGACTTCAAGCAGCTTGGATTCTGTGCCTCTCCAGTCTTCCTCCAGACTCTGGGACCTTGATTTCCAATTGAAATGCTAAATTTACTTTCATCTGAAAAGAGGACTGTGGACCACTGAGCAACAGTCCAGTTCTTTTTCTCCTTAGCCCAGGTGAGACGCTTCTTACGTTGTTTCTGGTTCAGGAGTGGCTTGGTTCAAGGAATGTGACCGCTGTAGCCCTTTTCCTGAAGACGTTTGAGCGTGGTGACTCTTGATGCACTGACTCCGGCTTCAGTCCACTCCTTGTGAAGCTCTCCCAAGTTCTTGAATAGGCTTTTCCTGACAATCTTCCCAAGGCTGTGGTCATCCCTGTTGCTTGTGCACCTTCTCCTACCACACTTTTTCCTTCCAGTCAACTTTCTATGAATATATTTCGATACAGCACTCTGTGAACAGTCAGCCCTTTCAGTGATGACCTTCTGTGGCTTACCCTCCTTGTGGAGGGTGTCGATGATCGTATTAGTAGATCGTCAGTAGTTTTTCCCATAATTGTGACCCTGGACCACAAAAGCAGTCTTAAGTCGCTGGAGTATATCTGTAGCAATAGCCAAAAATACATTGTATGGGTCAAAATTATTGATTTTTCTTTTATGCCAAAAATCATTAGGATATTAAGTAAAGATAATGTTCAATGAAGATATTTTGTAAATTTCCTACTGTAAATATATCAAAACTTAATTTTTGATTAGTAATATGCATTGCTAAGAACTTAATTTGGACAACTTTAAAGGCGATTTTCTCAATATTAATTTTTTTTGCACCCTCAGATTCCAGATTTTTAAACAGTTGTATCTCGGCCAAATATTGTCCTATCCTAACAAACTATATATCAATGGAAAGCTTATTTAGCTTATTTCAGCTTTCAGATGATGTATACATCTCAATTAAGAAACATTGACCCTTATGACTGGTTTTGTGGTTCAGGGTCACAATTGTGGTTGCATGTTCTAAACTAGCCCAGGAGGTATCCAGTATTTATACTCAAAATTAATCAAACTAATCAAGTTCAAAATGGAATATTCTAATTTTTTGGAGATACTGAATTTTTCATTTTCCTAAGCTGTAAGTCGTAACCATCAGAATTAAAACATTTCTTGAAATATTTCAGTTTGTGTGCAATGAATCTAAAATATAAGAAAGTTTGCTTTTTTTAAATTAAATTACAAAAAATAAAGACCTTTTCCATGATATTCAAATTTGTTTAGATGCACCTGTGTTTACTATAATATTTCTCTTTTCTAATTTGAATGTACAGTTTTCTTCGTAATGATTTTAGTCTCTTGTGATTATTTGTCTTTGTCCAGGTGCTTAGATTACAGATGACAGAGAGGTCACTGAGCCACATGTTGAACCTGGTATGAATGTCATATTTTACATCAGTTTTTGACTTTCTACTTGGCTTACAATACCTGTAAGTTCAAAATGTTTTGTTTTTGTTAAACCAGGCGCCCCAGAAAGTTTCACAAAAATCAGAAAATGGTTTCCGTGCCAGTGATGGTCACAGTAAGGTTAAAGAATGTAACGGCAGCCCTCTACTGACAGAATCAGTGCTACAAGACGTCAGAGATGATCTGCAGCTCCACTTTAGTCTTTCCACACTGCTTACTCTTACCATGATGCTTAGCGTCCCTTCCCTTATCCACTGGAGACACAATCTCAGGTAATCGTCATTTAGAGTATAAATTCATTAGATTTATTTTCCTCTGCATTTCTCATGCAAGTTACTAAAGCACTGCAAGCAAGTTCTACAAGAGATCAACTGCCTGAGAGTGAAGAGAAAGTAATCTACATCCTCTAAGAGTGATTTTAATTTGCACATGTATGTGTCTTGTTCAGATATTGGGTTCATCTGGATCCTGACCCCTGCTGGCCTCACGTTGTACCCCTGCTCATCAGCTCTGTTCTGCTCATCAACTGTAACACAGATACACTCCTGCGCAGGTTTGTGTGCATTTCTTACAAATGTATTCATGTTATTTATTTTACATCAATTCAGATAGTCATATTCATCAGTGGCACTCCTTGGAATGCCTAATATGGCCATATCAAAGAGCTTTTTTCATGATGTGGATATTTATGATGTTGCTCAATTGTAATTTGAAATCTTCATAAATATATAGTGAATATTATATTTAAATACATACAAACTGTTGTTGAAAGTTTAGGGTGGGTAAGATTTTTTTGTAATGTTTTTTGAGAAGTCTTTTATGCATTTATTTGATCAAAAATGCAGTAAAAACAGCAATATTGTGAAATATTATTACAATCTAAAATAACTTGTCTATTTTAAAATGTTATTTATTGCTGTGACGGTGAAGCTGAATTTTCAGCAGCCATGACTCACATGATTCTTCAGAAATCATTCTGATATGCTGATTTGATGCTCAAGAAACATTTTTTGCTTATTGTTTTCATTGGTGTTCACTGTGATGTGCCACAATATTTGGAGGCCAGGATCTGATTATATGTCTCAAAGCAAGAACTGCTAATTCAGGGCCAGATCTGTCCTGATTATGTAACACTGAAGCCAAACGGATCCAACAGCAACTCTTTAACAGTGCAGCAATGACAGCAATGTTTGTATTGATGCTAGTAAGGCTTCTTCTGTGGAAATGTAATGAAGAATTTGCTCATTTTGTTTAATAGAGACTGTTGTTGTGATGTGGTTAATAGCTCTGCTGTAGCAGCTAAATATTAATAGTAAAGACCCTAGAGGAATGTGGTTTTATAAATACACTACCATTTAAAAAGTTTGGGGTCAGTAAGACATGAGCTTTTAAATTTTAAAAGAAATGAATACTACAATATTTAGCAAGGGTGCATTAAATTGATCAAAATTGTGTCAAAATTGTCCAAATTCAGTTTCAAATAAATGCTGTTGTTTTGAACTTTATAGTCATCAATAAATTCTGGAAAAAAAATAATTTATGAATCGTGGTTTCCACAAAAATATTAAGCAGCACAACTGTTTTCAACGTTCATGATAATAAGAAATGGTTCTTGAGCATCAATCCAGCATATTAGAATGATTTCTGAAGGATCATGTGATACTAAAGACTGGAGAATGACTGCTAAAAATTCAGCTTAGCCTCACAGGGAAAATAAATACATTTTAAAATGTATTAAAATAGAAAAATTTCAATTGTAATAATATTTCACAATATTACTGTTTTTAGATCAAATAAATGCAGCCTTGTTGAGGATAAGAAACTTTTCCAAAAAGTAAGAAATGTTACTGACCCTAATCTTATGAACAGTATTGTATGCCATAACAGGTGATTTGAATTGATTAAAACAAATAAAACATTTAATTGAAATGTATGTATATATCTGTTAAGTATGTTGATGTATTAACAGGTTTAGAATATGAAGGGATATTAACCTGAAAGCCGCAGTCGAACCATAATCGACCTTTAGCGAAAAAAATCTGATTAGAGGGAACAAAAGCTTACAAGCCTGCACATTCCACAGTCATATTCTGTGTGACACACACAATTTTTTGAGTAGGGTTTCAGATTGGGCTTCAAGTTTAGCTGTGACTGTTTTGACTTTTTTATAGAATGCAGCTCACTGCCTCATGAACCTAAATGCTGTTGTGCTTTAATATATTTGCAGTGACTCACTCATTACAGTGACTCGTCTGTTATATCTATATTGTAAGGAGTTGATATCACTTGTCTCATTTGAAAGCGGAGTTAATATTTTAAAATGAAAACATTAATCAGCAGTTGTAAATTGCTCACAATAAACCTTTTAAAGTATAATCTTCGAAAATGTTTACTAAGAGATATAGTTCAAGTTGATACAAGTGTGATTATAGTGCTGTTTTGCTTGGTTTGTGGTGCTTTTGTAATTCACTCATGTGCAGTGACTGAAACTGTAAGAGTGTAAATGATTCATGTCAATGCTTCTTTTATACTGATATGTGATGAAGCACTGTCTATCAGCACATGTATGCTAAAATATTAGCACTTCTATTGGCAGTCGGACTGATTTATCATCATTGGCTTGCACCTGTTTGGCCAAACAGCAGCGTCACTGTGATTGGTTGTGATCATTGTTTTCTTAATACAGTGATTAGGGCAGTTCATGCTTATTTCTGGAGCATCTTTTGTTGTTATTTAATATACAGACGTGCTAGAAAGTGTCAGAGATGTTGTGTACCTGCTTTGTAATTAAATTGTTACAGTGCAGAACAAGGTAATTGCTTGTTTATCTCTAAGCTTTGTAAATGGTGAAATAACAAACTGATCACTCTCAGGTTAAATAACGTGTTGTGGAGTCAGTGGCTTTTAGTGTTTATATATCTTAACATGTTATTTTACCCAAAAATATGTGCAATTTTTTTAGCACTACTGCAGTTCCAATAAAAATTGTTTACTCAGAGTTGGTTCTCAGATTTATTGAACATTTTCTGTGTCAGTTGCCATTTATTTTATTTTATTTTATTTTTATTATTTTTATTTTTTTTAAAGGTTTGTTAACCCAGAAAGGACAGTTCTGTCCTTAATTACTTGTGCTCATGTCATTCCAAACTGACTGTCTTAAATTGAGGTTGTCACACAAAATTAGTGTATGGCTTCAGAAAAATGTATTTATTTATTTTAATGTTTTTTTTTTTTTTTTTTTGCTTTATATATTTAAGCTTGACAGTTTCTAAGAGTACCCAGGATAGTCTTTAAAAAATTATTTTATTTGATTTCAAAGTATTTGTTATTGTTTATTTTTTTTCTTTCTTTCAGTTTTTTTTCCTCAATTTTTATTTCAGTGTTATTTATCTATTTTTTATTTATTTGCTTAATTTACTTGCTTAACTTACTTATGCTTGACCATTTCAAAGAGTACCCAGGATATTCTTTTAAATTTGTATTTCATTTGATTTCAAGTTATTTCAAGTAATTTTTTTATTTCATTTTTTTCAATTTTTATTATTTCTTTTTTTTTGTCTTTTTTGTATTATTATATTATATTTATTTATTTTAGCTTGACAATTTCAGAGAGTTTATGGTGTTCTTTTAAAATTTTATTTTTTTTTGTGTGCACTGTCCCTTTAAAAAGAGGGCAGTATGTGTGTTCCCTCAAACATCTTGTCTGTGCCATTTTAATTCCTGCTAATTAGTCACATTTAATAAAATTTTGCTTTTTTTCTCAGCCTAACAGATGGCTGTTAATCGTGCTGAGATTTGGCCACTGCAGTTGCCAAAACACCATTTGACTGGAGATGTTGAACTTCTTTCATCTCAGCTGAAAGACAGATAGCTATATAATCAAAACACAATGTCTTCTAATATCTGATGCACTGTTAAAATTGCTTCACAGAGCTGTCCTCCTCATTCATAAATACATAAATCATTTGGCCCATACAGCTCATTGATAGTCAGCTGTATTTACTCTGAGGATGGCACAGAATGAATGTGAACACACGTCTCGAGTGATATCCAGGTCTATTGAGTGTTTAGAATAAACCACAGGATATGAATACAAATGCTGTCCTCAACCAAGCACAGGCTATAGAGTCAAGTACAGTCACATCAAAGAGAAGATTCATCTACAGTGGAATGGAAATGTGGCCCTTAATGTTCAATACCAGAGGACTGAACTTTTTTTTCCCATGAGTTTTGTCCAAAGTAAATCTTTTTAGGAATACATATTTAAAACCTTCTTAATTGGCATTAGTTCATGCAAACCAATTTTTCAAATTACATAATTTTTAAATATGTTAAAGCCCGTTCTAATGAAGATAGCCTAAAGTTTAAAAAAATCCTTCTAAATTTAAAATAATAGCAGAGTCCACAACACAATTATAACGATAACGACAGATGAACGATATCATTGGAATCACTTTCAATTAAAACTATTTTTTTCCAGCTGATAAACGATAATGACACTGACAGCCAATCAGAATCCATCCTACTTTAAAGAGATCAAACGTTTAGAGTGGCAGATGACAAAATTGCGCGCAACTTTAATTCTCGCTGGAACGTGCTGATGACGTATCATGTCTGCACAAACAGGGTGCGCAGAGGTATACAAATACATATTTGACAGGCAGGCAGGACAGCCTGTCGTAATGTTCAGGCCGAACATTTTAATTGGATGAACATTTTATGGTCCTACGCCTTCCACAGACGATATAAATACAAATAAATAATTTTAGACCACTTAACTTCGTGATTGCTTTCGGGATGTGAAGAGACTTTCAACCAGCATAACAATTTTTTTTTTTGCTTTTGAAGCTGCAGTCCGTAAGTTTTGCCTCTTTGTCGCCATCTCTGTTTGAAACCTGCAATTGCAGTAATTTGCGGAATTATCGTTTTTAGTTTCAGTGGGACTTTAATGTTACTATACTTATTAGCTACTTAATGTTACTATTGCTCATAGTTTTAAACATTAACTCAGAAATGCTGTAGAAGTAGGCTATTATTGATATTTCAAATTAGCAATTGCATAATGTTAACCAATTGAACCCTGTTATAAAGTGTTATTGAAATCTATAACGCCTGCTAAGTTATTTACAGTCTTTCACTGGTAAAAGAGACAAATTAAAAATTTGCATTTCAGTTTAATAGTTTTGCGTTAAATGTGTTAAAACATTCCTTTGTAGGCTACAGAGATTATATCACTCTTGTGTGATGATATTAAAAGTATAATGTGATTTCCAAGCTATGTATTTTGTGGATAAATATAAAAAGATATGGGAGTGTTATTATACCTTGAAACACAAATCAAATCATTACTATATTACATCACCTCCCAGTCTCCCCTAAACAGACCTACGAACAAAGTAACAAATTATACAGCAAACAATTTATTTTAGCCTATATCTGCATTATTCTTTATAAACTGCATTATAATGAGGTCTGTGATGTGTGATGTGAAGCTGTAACCACAGAGGTTTGTGTTGTGTGTGCAGGACAGATGTGTTCCCCAGCAGTCGCCACCCCGCCGCTCTCACACTGCCTCCAGCTCCGGAGCGCCTTATAACTGCTTTATTACCACCGCTGCATGCGCTGCGGGGACAGACCGAACCGGGTGGTCACGTCCACAGGGAACCCCAACGCCGTTTTCTGGTATAATTACACTGGCGTTGAGATCAAGTCTTCAGTAGCGTTAAATCAGTAGATCGCGCTGTAATCCTGGATGTGATAGCTCATCTGTCAACCTGTGCAGAAGGGAACTATCCCCTCAGTCGTGATTTCTGCTTTGGGTAAGTGACAAAATCTCGCTACATTGGATGAAGAGGCCTTGAATATAACGACGCATCGCTGCCAAACGAATCCAAAGAGGAAAGAGCGATAAAACAGCATTATTAACGCACATTATTCGCCTTTGCGCCGCGGATTTTGTTGGCGTTTCCATGGACACATCACGTTGATGCGCAGGTACGCGGTTACACAATGTACTGTGTTTTGATGCGTGCGGTAGTATGCAGCCGATATGTTAAAAGAGATGTGTTTTATGATTCAGCAGTTTTAATGCCTTGTTACATCTTGTGATTGACTTTCATTTGCGTATCTCTTTTTCTAGATGTAATAACGGTGCATTAGCTGGCCTGACTCAGAGGTTTAGAAATAGCCTACATATGCGCTGATAGTGGCTTATGTTAATGCAGCATGCTGATTCTCTGCAGATCATGTTGTGTGAATATGACGAAGGAAATTCGTTGCGTTATCCGATAGCGCTGCATGCGATGCGTGTCGTGAGAAAAGCCGTCACGGCTCTGTGGAATTTGTGTGTGCGCTGGGTTTTACCTGCAGATGAAAAAAAAACACCTTCATGTGAGGAATCTGCTGGATCGCACCTAGTGGCTCGAGAGAAGATCGAACTCATATGACGTAATACACGCTTCTGCTGAGTAATAAAAATATATTACAAATTATTCATTATTATTATTTTTTTTATTATAATGTTTTTTTTTTCGACAGCATAGACCAACGTTTAAATAAATGCTCCAATAAATAAATATTATTATAAAAAAATATCAAGAGGCTGATAAAATGAAATTGGGTGGGAGATTAAGCTGTGTCTTTATATGCGTTCATTTTCATACAAGTAAACAATATAGGCTACGCTTCATTTAGGTAGCCTATAGTTATATTACAAGTTAGTTAGTGTCTTCCATTCCAAATAAACCCTAACAAACTTAAGTCGCGACCATATGCAACAGTACGCTGATCTCGATTTTTCTTTTGCGATCAAAAAACGCACGAGTTTTATTATTTTCTTTTTTATTATTAGTATGAACTTACCACAAGATTGCAATATCGTAATAAGTGCCATATAGCTTACCGTGTAGTTGCTGCTTATGTAAGATTGTCTATTAATACAAATGCCTATAGAAATCCCTTTAAAAAGTTAGCTCCCTGAAAGTCACTGCATAATTTGCATGCTGATTTTGATATCCTTATTACTGATGCTGCAGTACTCCCCCAGTTATTCTATATTCATAATGCTGCATCACATTTTCATTTAGCAGAGAGATGGGTGAGATGTGAGGGAAAGCAGGAGGTGGCAGAATGAATGTTTGATTACATTATCCATTATTCGGGACATATGAGAAAGACCCCTGTAGTTCTTTGCCTTTTCTAGAATTATCCCCTGCAACAGTTGCAAGAAACCACTAAGGTTACCAAAACCCTTACAAATTATACACTTACAATGTTTGTGAAGAAAATATTTATCAATCATTCAAAAGTAAATTGGTACATCCATTTTGAGCCGAAAGTAGCAGACTTGAGTTTGTTAATCGATGACACCTTAAAAGCTGACAAGATGTGTCAAACGGTTAGTAGTGTGTAGTTCCATGCTTATGTTGTGTGTCTGCTGTTCTGAATGTGTTTGGTCTATAGAGAGTGGAACAGTAATGCTCCTGTGCCATTCTCTGTGCCAGCTTCCTAAGGTGCCTGTTATGTCTAGAAGCAAAGACTGCAGTAACCTCCACTAGTGCACAGAGGGGTTCCTGTAGCGATAGCAAACACTGCATTTATGCATAGGTGAACAGACCTCATTTACTATTTAATGGGCTGTAAGATCAGATGTCATCCGCATGCAAACACTGCAGAAACTCTCGGTGCTGACATCACCTCCTGTAACGCACTCATACACACATGCACGCTCACTCAAGCAGTTTTCAGACATGCAGTACACTTAATCTGCGGTGTAAGACTTCTAATTTAAAATGTTGCAAAAAGCAAGTGCACATATTGCACGTACAATCTAGTGATCCACATTAGTAACTACGTGGGGCACTATGTAAATACTGTTTAATGTTTGTCAGTATTGGTGAATAAATAGATTATTAAAAGTTCACAGTAGAAGTTAGTGAGTATGGAGTTGGAATGTGGTTTGTATAACCAGCAGAAACATTATATTCTAGCAGGACACATTATAATGCACAAGAAATAATCACCTTCCATCAGTAGATTTAGTAGCACTATTTAGAAATGTGGAAACTCTCAAAAGTTTTATAACATTAATCTTCACAGCTGTCCATGTCAGTGATTTTCGAGATATAAATGAGAAGAAGGATGGTTGAGCTGGAATGTGTTAAAAAACCAAAGATGCTGCTAAGTGTAAAGAAATTATTATTATCTATTCCCCCCATCAGTCCTATATATATTTTCCTGAGGTGCCTTTGGAGAACTGTCAATTGGTCATAAGAGGCAAATTTTTTTAGGAGGCACATTTTAATAAAGGAGGAAAAAACAGTTTAGTTGATTATTAGAGATACTACATGATGTGTGGACACAGCACAAAACAAAGGGAAATAATGAATTATTGCTTACCTCAAGTATTTTTTATGATGGTGCATTTTAACCGCTGAGTAGTTTAACAAGACGGAAACAGGCCGTTCTCGAGTTTTCTCCATGGACTGCAGACGAAACTACTAAGTGACCAGCGTAGACCAGTGATTCATGATCAAATAACTCTTATGAGCTGATTCTTTTCAGGGAATCCAAAACCAACCAGTATATTTCAAATCATGAACAGATGACTCCTATGAACTGGTTCTTTTGACAAATATTTGACGAGTTCAGTCGTCACTGGCTGAAATTTGAATCATTTAATAAATTATTGTTATTTTAATAAAAGTGTTATTGATAAGTAAATCTGAAAATAAAGGTGTATTACAATAAAATATAAAAATGAGATGAACACTTGACCGTAAAAACTTAAGTGCTTACACCGGCTAATAAATAAAATAAATACGTTTATAGTTCAAGTACAGTAGTATAATTACAAAAAAAAAATGAAATAAAATAAAGCTATATAAAAAATATTTAGAAACTAATAAAAATGACAAAGCAATAACAAAATAACTAAAACTTAAACTACAATTAAAATGAAAACTGAAAATATAAAATTCTAAATATTAAAGAATACTATAATAGTTTAAATATAGTTCTAAATAACTTTGGAATTAACAATCATCTATAGTGGTTAGGGAAAACATATCACTTACTAAACTGCAAGTTATCATACCTTTTAGTGATGTACATCTCAAAATGAATCGAGATATTAAGGCTTATGAAACATATCAGTGTTATATAATAACTGTTCACATGAAACTGTATTTGAGTATTTTCTCTTTACTGAACTTTCTCTTTCCTTGTTCCTCTCTCTCTTTGTCATTTTCCTTACCATTTCCCATATCTTTTCCTACCCCTCACTCCTATTCATTAGATTCTAAAGACCCTTAGTGCAGTGATATCTGAATTAAAGTTATATATATATTTTTTTCATTGTGTATTCTTAGATAGAATGTGTTGATGATCTTCTCTTAGGACCCGAGAAGGATTGTGCTTGCTAGCTGGATCCCACTGACTAATCAATGGAAATAACTAAGCTCTTTTAGATTCGTTAAAGATTAATTAAATACCTTATTCTCGAATCGTCAAGGTCAATAACCATTACCACAGCCAAGTGCTCTAGCAGACAACAGGCCTATCTGGTCTTTCACCTGTATGTCCAGACTATTACAGGTCAGCCCAGGTCTGATCCAGGATTCAGGTCAGGGTTCTCCATCGTTCCGGCTTTTTCCTCAAACTCACCCAGTCCATAGACGTGCTCCCACACAGTTGCCACCATTCGCCCCTCTCTCGCCACAGCAGTTCTCCCGTCCAGGCCCCGCTCCGGCCCGGCGTCAGGCATGGCGCCTCAGGGGCGGGATCACCTGGCCACACGGGAGTCTGCAGGCCGTAGACGGAGCCCAAATGTGCGGCACACGCTCAGCCCGGAGAATCTTCGGAGCTTAGCCGAGCGTGGTGGAGCCGAGCAGGCTGGAGTTGGACTCCCCAGAGCCAACAGCGATACGGACCTGGTCAGTTCTCAAGGGCGATCCTCACTCACAGCTTCTACTTTAGAGTTCACTCTGGGCCGGGGCCAGAACTTGGTCATCACATGGGATATCAAGGAAGAGGTGGATGCTACAGACTGGATTGGCATGTACCACATAGGTAAGAATTGGGGTTATTGAGTTTATACACCTGACTTACAATAGATTTGATCTAGTCATATTGGATGAATTTAAATAAATTCTGTCATGTCTACTAGATAACTAAAGGTGTGTCACATTAGCGAAATTTCACAGTTAAAAAATGTTTAAAGTTTACGGTCAATAGTGTAGTGATGTATAAAGCACAGCTCACAAAACAAGCAGCTTTCTATTAATGTTGTCCTTAATATCAAGCACATGAGAGTGACACTCAGTGAAGGATATATAACTTAAAGTGCTACAAACACAACACCACCAGTGCAAATAAAACATGAAACAATAAATAGCAAAACAGTGAGTTCAATATTTCTTAATGACACGGCGCATACTGGGGCGCATTACCAAATAAAAAATTTTAAGGTAGAAAATAAATAAATCCAATTTTGTAGGAATGAAACAAAGCAATTCATCCTAAGGAGGCAGTTATATAAGAAGTTGCGTAATACGAAGTTTCAAAATTGCTCACAAAAGCACAGCTACAACAGAGAGATGCAATATAATACAAGTAGAATTTAAATGAAAAGTAGCAGGACTCTACCATACATGCTGTTGGTCATGTTTACTAGATTATGAGAGACAGATCCATTCACCCTCTGTGCCCTTCAGTCCTCCTCCTTAAGCATTAAGATCACAAATCCTCACTGTCATGTAAAAATATGAGACTGGAGCAAAGTGATACATCTGGGCACAAAGCCACTAACCACTGAATTGAAGGCCAGCAAACTTTACCTTCGCAAGGGTCTTATCCCCAAGGGGCTCTAAGTTTCGACAACTAAGCAGACATTCAGTAATGCCTTCAATGTAATCTGCCCTACATTTGTTCATTAGTAGATGACTAATGCTGTGTAATGTAATTTACACTGCCACTGTTGAATCTGTATTGCTAGTGATATTTGTCATCATTATGGGGTGCTGCTTTGCTAATTGGGTTTATTCTGCTCTCTGTACCACCAATTTGCCACATAAAAATAAATAGACAGGTGACATGTCCAGAATGGATTTAATGTCAGCTGCTATAAACATGCACACACACAAATGCAGATGCAATTATTTATTTTATTTATTTATTTTTATTTTTTCCAGATGAGACCTGTCCATCAAATATGTGGGATTGCAAGAACCGTGGGGTTAACGGTACACAGTGTGGTCAGATTTTCTGGAGGCTGGAGGCAGGGCCATACTTCCTCGAAGGTGGGTGACACTGCAGCCAACAGCTGACCTTCACCTTGATGTTATAAAATATTGAATGGACTAGGAGGTTAGACAGAAGATTTTTGAAATTGCATTCACTTGTTTTACATTCTTGGGGCCCAGAATTCAGCTTGAAATACTGAACATGTTAGCAATGCTTAAAGGGATAGTTCACCCAAAAATGAAAATGTGATGTTTGTCTGCTTACCCCCAGGGCATCCAAGATGTAGATGATTGTTTCTTCAGTAGAACAAAAACGAAGATTTTCTTCTGTCCAATATAATAATAGAATAAGGTCCATTATTCTGTCTTATAATGGACGTGAATGGGAATCACGGCTTTGAGAGTAAAAAAAACACACACAAACATGTATTTGGTTTAATGAAATGTGTTTATGCGGTTTAAAGTAAAAAAAACACATTATTTTCCACGTACTGTACATTATTGTTTCTCCTCTATGCCCCGCCTTTTTGAAACGCGTCGATTTTTACAAAGCTCATCGTTCTAAAAAAGTGAGGTGTGCTGTGATTGGCCAGCTATCCAGTGCTTTGTGATTGGCCGAATACCTCAAGCGTGTGACGGAAATGTTACGCCCCTTACCATACTGTTGATGCTGTGTCCCGGCCGGAGCAACGAGACAAAAACATGAAAACCCATTACAAACGAGGCATTTGTTGCATCCAGTGGGGACATAATTACTGATTATAATGACTTATACTGTCTTTTTGCGCGTTGCGTTGCGTAAACATAAAACCCTGTCTGCATTTGTGATCGGAGAAATGACAAACAACAAGTGCTACTCTACTGCCCAAAACTCGCGTTTGAATCATCAGTGGCAAATCCTTTAAATATGAAAACGTACTTACAGACTGTGAGTCAGAACAGCCAGCATTGTAGTCAACTCTCCTTCTTCTTGCTTTATGGTGGATCGCAGACTTATAAGTGCATTACTGCCACTTACCTCTCAAATGGACCATTGACACTCCTAATTGAGATAGTAGATAGAGTGTCAATGGTCCATTTGTTCGGACAATGCGTGAATCAGAGGTAAAAAAACGATATCAATACTGTTCAGTTTCTTGCACAGACCAATCGTTTTGTGTCTTTACACATCAATGTATCGTCACGAGCCGCAGGGTTTAATTTGGTTTTGTTTGTGTATATTTTTTTTACTCTCAAACCCGTGATTCCCATTCACCTCCATTATAAGACTGACAGACTGCAACGGTTTGAGTTAAAACTCTTCGTTTGTGTTCTACTGAAGAAACAATGTCACCTACATCTTGGATGCCCTGGGGGTAAGCAGATAAACATCACATTTTCATTTTTGGGTGAACTATCCCTTTAAAGTTATAAAAAAGAAGTGTAATGTTCTTTTTGGTACAAAATATCACGCTGACTCTACAAATATGATGGGCAGATTTATTATGCTGGCACTTTTCTGGTTATCTCTTCTAGCTGAGACAAGGATCTGTTTTAAGTACTATCATGGAGTAAGCGGTGCGCTGAGAGCCACAACTCCCTGCATCACAGTCAAGAACCCCAGAGCCTCGGTCAGTGTGAGTGTGTATGTGTGTGTATGCAGACATTATTCTTTTGATATCATTATAGCTCACAAAAACACTATAAAGTGTGTTTTTATGAGCTATTTTTGTGTGCTGAAAACAGCATGAGTTGCACTCAAAATTCAAAACTTTGGGGTCAGTAAGATTTAAAAATACTGTTCTGTAGCGACTATGATTGGTAAAGGTTATACAGTACATGAGGTGCTAAGTGCTAAATGGCTGTTTGACTGCATCCTCACATGTGTTTGAAGGTCGGACATTTCTCAGTTCCCATAAGCGCAGGCCATTTATCATGTCACTGGATGGATATAGGGAACTCAGTCATATAGATATGGGAGCTTGTTCCCTGCTTAAAATACTTATTATTTATCATTGTAAGTCTGTGTTTATTACATAAGAAGGTCAGGTATATGTTGCCTCTCATATCAGTCTATCTTCTAGGTCGACGGTCAAGGTGAAGGACAGCAAGCTTCAGACAGCAGCCGAAAATTGGTCAGCTTTACTCTATCAGGTACGTTTTCTGTGTGTAAGAGACAGAAGGCAATGATCAAATGATGATTTATACTCTTCTTTATAATGCTGTTATCCTATTGGCAGATTTATTCAAGCTGTTTTTATTGCTAATTGGACTGTTGTTTGTTTTAGATATCCGGGCTGTGGGGCTGAAGAAGGGGATGTTTTTTAATCCAGACCCTTATTTGAAGATGAGCATTCATCCTGGCAAGAGAAGTTGCTTTCCGACATTTTCTCATCATGGCCAAGAGAGACGATCTGGCATTACAACTAACACTACTAATCCTGTGTGGCATGGAGAGGTGACAAACACACACACACACACACACACACACACACACACACAAAGAGAAACAAACTCTCTAATGCAGGGCATGAAAATACAGACACATTCACTGGCAAATAAACAAGTGCTGAAACAGTTCAGACCAAGATGAGTTTTTTTTTTTTTTTTAATTTCCGATTTTCTCTTTGTTTTTCCATCTAGAAACACACTTTTGTGGCTCTTATGACAGACGTCTTAGTGGTTGAGGTTAAAGACAAGTTTGCTAAAAGTCGACCAATTATTAAACGCTTTCTGGGTCAACTGAACATTCCGGTGCAGATGCTGCTGGAGAGACACGCATCAGGGTGAGCATCATGGCAGCATCTCATCTGATCATCACCACACTATAATGTGTCATTTATGTAAACAGACATGTTCCTGAACATAAACACTGCTTTTAGTCACAATATAACTGATCAGTAATACACTACTGTACAGAAGTTTGGGGTTGAGAAGATTGTTTAAAATGTTTTTGAAATAAATCTCTTATGCTCACTAAGAATGCATTTATTTGATAAAAATGCAATAAAACAGTAATATTGTGAAATTATTACAATTTAAAATGGCTGTTTTCTATTTTAATATATTTTAAAATGTAATTTATTTCTGTGATGGCAGCGCTGAATTTTTATTGAGCAAGGATGCATTGAATTAATTAAGACATTTGTATAATGTTAAGAAATATTTCTGTTTTGAATACATGCTGTTCTTTTGAACTTTCTATTCATCAAAGAAGCTCGAGAAAAAAAAAAGTTAAAACATGTATCAAGTTTTACACATAAATATTCAGCACCACTCTTTTCAACATTTTAAACTGAAATTATATTTCACAGTATTATTGTTTAAATGTATTTGATTAAATAAATGCAGCCTTGGTGAGCATAAGATACTTTTTTTTCAAGAACATTCAAAAAATCTTACCAACTCCAAAATTTACAACAGTACTCAATGTGTGTAAATAAATTTGTGTGTTTATATGGCTTCAGGAACCAATCACTGAGCTTCTCTCTATGTCGTCGTTTGCCCACTGATCATGTGAGCGGTCAAATGCACTTTAAAGTGGATGTTACATCCATGGGCCAAGATGGTAAGATCACATGCACATTTACGCTGACTAAGCTGTTAATTTTCAATGGTTTTGAGATCATTTTACCCACTTCTCATAGACATTTCTCCTGAGACGATTCTGGGGGCAACAGCCCTCAATGGAGCTCCTGGAACCCCTTCAGATGATGAAGAGCTGCCCCATCCTCTCCCTGTCCCATCAGCAGGCCCTTCCCCCACCGGCTCCCTGGGTTCCCATAGAAATGGGGAAGGGAGCAGCATTCGCTCCCCAGACACAGAGATGTATGGTACCACCCTGGACGATGAAACCCCTTCTTCACCTGACCTGCTCCAGGTTTCTTTCAGTGAGCAGCTTGATGCCATTGATGCACCTAAGGGCCCGGGAGACAGGCCTTTTGGGGCAGCTTCTCCCAAACTACGATCCAGCTTTCCCACACATACGCGCCTCAGCGCTATGTTGCATATTGACTCAGATGAAGATGAGGAAAGGTCCACTGCTACAGAGGCTACGCTGCCTACATTTAATGGTGCTTCAAGGACTCAAAACACCCCCCCAAAACCACCAATTACAGAACCTGTGTTTGAAAGAACTGTAGAGGAACCTCCAGAAGAGGCTGGCCTGGAGTCTGAAATAGAGACTCTGAATATATGCGCAGAGGTGGCTCCTGAGCCAGAAGTCGTGCCGAGTTCAGTGGCCCCTGAGGTGGAAACTGCCAGTCTCATAGAGAGGCAAGAGGAAGAGGAGGAGGACGTGGAGGAAGAGGGGCTGGCACCCAGTGAGGAGCTGGCAACTGAAGTTGATATCTCTTCAATGGCATCTGACTGCTGCCCGGGCCTTGTGTCTGCTTCTCAGGTCAGTTGCCGGTTTACTGAAAGAAGACTTAATTAATTTAAGTGGGTCAATGACATTTAAGAGTGTCCACAATCTTTTAAAAGTGTCCAGTCCTTTTACAAATCTAGTTTAAAACAGTGTTGTAATTGTTAACTAATAAAAACTATAAAACTAATAAAAATCATTAATAAAAATAATTAAAACATTTAAAAATTAATTATAAATAATATATGAAAACGTATACTTTAAAAAATTCCACAAAATTAGAAATGTTTTGGAAATAAAAATAAAAAATAGTACTTAAATTACTAAAACTAAAATCTAAATCAATTATAAATGTAAACATAGAAAACAAAAACTAATAAAAATCACCACTCTTTCATTTTTTAAATGTATGGCCTAAAATAACAAAATTCATAAATTAAAAATGATATTATGAATAGATACAGTGTATGTATGAACAGCATTTTAATGTACTTTTGATTGAATTATTAGGTAGAGCAAAATAATAAATGTCACATGATTGACCCAAGTGTTGGATCTTCTGACCCTTGCACTCGACCTGAAATGTTTGATGCCAATAAATACAAAGAGAGGGGAAGGTAATCGTTCTCTATGAACTTGATCTTTATAGGAGGCAGAACAGGGGGCAGAGGCAGCCATTGACCCAGGGGGAGATGATCTTTCAGATGACCCACCCACAACTTATGAGGTTGCTGAAGAAACCGTTCCAAACAATGAGCTAGAGAGGTACGCCCCAAAACCAGAACCATCAGCCAACAAGGAAGAGGAATGTGAAGATGTGACTGAGGACACAATGTCCAGAAGATGGAGCCTGGAGGCGACAGCCGGTGTGTCACAGGAGGATGAAGAAGAAGAGGAGTTAATGCCATCAGTAGATGGAGAATCTGTGGACTCCGAGACCTTCATTACGGAGACAGAATCAGAATTAGGTATTCTCTGAATCATTGAGCTGCCCTTCGCTTGCCAATTCATTTTAAGATGGAAAAGGAATCAAATGTGAGTTTAGAATACATCCTGATGCCGTATGTAAAATATTGCAGGTGTCCCTCAGATCAACGGAGATCAGCGTGTTCATTCTCTGCCGTCTGTAAGACAAGACATCCACCGATACCAGCGTGTGGACGAGCCCTTACCTCCCAGTGAGTGTGTGTATGTGTTTCTGTATGTCTGCATGTGCTTCCGTGTCTTTTATGTGTGTGTAAATACGTTGCTTATGTGTTATGTTTTTGTTTGTAAGCCAAATTACTGAATGCCATTTCGGCTTGACAACTTAATCAGGTACCATCACACTCTACTCTCCATTCTCATTTCCCACCGTTCTTTCCTCAGACTGGGAGGCTCGTATTGACAGTCATGGCCGTATCTTCTTTGTGGATCATGTGAACCGCACCACCACATGGCAGAGACCCACTGGCCCACCTGCTCCTCAGGGTCTGACCCGCTCCAGCTCCATACTGCAGATGGAGCAACTCAACCGCAGGTTAGATAATTAACTTATATTTTTCACGTCATATAATATTACAAAGCTGAAAATCTAACTTAATGCTGAGAGGACACCCAGCAAACAGAATATTCTCCTAATGTTTTTGTGAATCAATTTAAAACATTCTAAGAACATTCTTTAAAGGCTTACCATACATTAATCTTCTTATGAAGTTTTTGAAACCAAAAATTGCTAGCTGTGCAGCAAAGGTGTGGTCACATTCACCTTTGTATGCAAAATTCGGCGAGCAAAATGCAGTAATTTCAATAGGAATCCTGATATTTCATGAGAGGGTCATGTGAAGCGATAGAATTCCCAGCATGGATTTCACATCAAATTCAAGTTTGTTAACTGTTAATACTTGAATTTGTTTGTAAAAAATACTTGCACACTGCAAAAATTTTAAGCCATTAAACTGAAAATGGAAGTTTAATTGTTATAACCAGAAGCGATAAATTCATTGAACCTTTTGTCCACTTAAAAGAAAATAGCTGAAACCCTGAAAAGAAATGATTGTGACAAGATGAATGGAATGAAAAAATGATACTTGGAGTTTGATTGTGCAAAGTAATGTAATACTTTTCTGAAAGTGTGATTTCTGTATTGTCTCTCTGGCAGGTATCAGAGTATTCGTAGAACAATGACCAGTGAAAGGTCTGAGGAACAAAGAGTGGATGATCCTCCTTCTGAAGAGACCGAACTGCTGCCCCACTCCATCGGTGGTAAGCTGTCAATCAAAGTGAGAACTCCAGATGATGGTGTTTAGGAAAGTAAACGATCACTATGCTGAGATAAATGTAAAATGCCATAGTCCGGGTAGAATAAGTGGATTTTGTTCAGTCTGTGCTTGTTGATGTGTCTGTTCTCGTGTAGAATACCGAAGGGACGGCTTTATGGGTCAAGCCAACTCACGTTCTCGTCTGGCTTTGCTGCTTCAGTCTCCTGGTGCAAAGTTCCTCTCCAGTCCAGACTTCTTCTCTGTTCTGCATTCTAATACTGTGAGCTAAAGCACACAGAGACACAGATATCAGTGCTTTACACACACACCTTAAACTAAGTCATTGATAATGTATAGCCAGCATTATTACAAAGCTACAGAGCACCACACATAACACGTGAGGGAAAAACAAGAGAATGTGCCACAAATTAACAAGTTGTGGGAACGAATTCTTAATTTGTGGCCACAATATCTTTTTTTTCTGCATGCCATATACAAACAATAAATAAATAAATAAAACCGTACAAATAATTTATATTATATTATATTATATTATATTATATAAATTTTAGCTAACATCTTTAGCTACATTGTAAAATGTTTTCCTCTATTTTAAATTCTGTCTCATTCAGGTCTTTGTGTCTCTTACATTGTTTTTCTGAGCTCAGTTTTTGTCTTATTGATTTAAATGGGGACTCCTGAGCTTCTAGCCATCTAACAAAGATTTCATGTTTACATTTCATATTCAATTCCTCTCAGGTCATTTTTCCTGCATTCGGTAGCTAACTGTTGTTGCAAAATGGTGCTAATTTGCTATTTAACTTGTGCTGATATAAGAGAAAATGTAGAATAAAATGAGACTTGTAGCAGTGGCATATTGCCAGCTATCCATGTCAGGCCATTATAACAAAATATTTAATTGCTCAGTGATTCGACTGGCCAAACAGAATCAAGTATTAAAAGAGCCGTACAATAATTTTCTGATTTGTTTTCTTCATTTCCCTTTAGAGTGCCTATCGCATGTTCACAAGTAATACGTGTCTGAAGCACATGATCAGTAAAGTTCGACGGGACGTCCAACACTTCGAACGGTACCAGCACAACCGGGACCTTGTCAACTTCCTCAATCTGTTCTCCAACAAGCAGCTGGAGCTGCCACGGGGCTGGGAGATGAAACACGACCACACTGAGAAGGTGTGTGTTTGTATTTTTTCTCCCTTGGGAACTGTGCACCTGTTCTTTCTTAGGGGCCTCTAGAACTGCATATGAGTAGTCTGATGGGACAAACTGTACAGACAGAAACTGAAAGCTGAGTTTAGGATGTTCATGTAGGCCCATCTGGTGGGCTTCCTAATGCCTTAATTAGTGTCTCTGACAGGAACAACGAACAGATGCTTGTCTTATTTATTCTAATCGGCCTGTCCGTTCTGTATACTTCTGCTGATTTTTCACAGACACTTCTTTGCTCACACTCTCTGTCTATGTGTTTATGTATCACAGCCCTTCTTTGTGGATCATAACTGTCGTGCCACAACATTTATTGACCCACGGCTGCCCTTACAGAACTCCCGGTCCAGCGGCCTGCTGGCTCACCGACAGCACCTGACCCGCCAGCGCAGCCACAGTGCAGGAGAGGTGAGAACTCTAGTTCTATATACAGTACAGAGTTCAGTAATACACATTCACTGCCATAAGTTTTTGAATGGTAGAGTTAAATAAAGTGCTAAACAAAAGAGCATTTTGTCCTTTTGTCAGTTGTGGGTATCCCTGCCCAAAGTGAAATCTCATTGCACCTGGACGTGTTTTTTTTTTTTTTTTGATTTGCTGTCTAGTTACCTAGTTTCTCTAACTATAATACTGAATTAATTGCTTGTATCTCAAAAAACTTAAATGGGGCATTGTCATAAGCAGTGTTGGGGGTGATGAATTTCAAGTAACGCGAGTTACATAATCAGATTACAAGTAACTAGTAAAGTAACGCATTACTTTTGAATTTAGAAGGAGATATCTGAGTTACTTTTTGAAATAACTAACTGCAATGCCAATTACTTTGTTTGCCATGTCTTGACTGACAGCTCTTGTGTTGCCATGTTGAGAGAAATCGGGAGTAAGTGCAGAGGCGTTGTGTGCTCTGTGTGAACATGATGTTTACTGTAGTTCTAGACTAAATATGAACATGTATTTACTCATCTTACCTGTACAAAAACAGATTCAGTATTCCTCAAAATAAATAAAAACAGTCAAAAGCAAACTCCGAATATTATACAAACCTGCAATAATTAAATATATTAAATAAGACAAATATAATTTATGTATTTAATCCCATTTTATTAACCATGATCTTTGCTACTGACCTTCAATGATCCAATTCAGCCATAATAAGCAAAAATGACACATTTGTGTTTCATTTTTGTTATTGCTGAATAGTGTTGAACTTTCTTCTCCTGCATCATATTCCTCATGCAATTTGTTTGAGCTGCGCCCTCTACTGTACAGACATGAATTTACATTTCCTTCAGCCTGAGGCGTATTTATTTAACTTTTGTTGTGAAAAGGGCTTTTACATTTGTAAAATAACTTTTTTTATATTAAAAACAAGCAAGCAAACCCTGCCCAGATTTAAAAAATAACTCTAACTAAGTAACATAATTAGTTACTTTTTCAGAGAATAACTCAACATTGTAATGCATTACTTTTAAAAGTAACTTTCCCCAACACTGGTCATTAGGAATATACACTGAAATCGTGAAGCCTCCTCTCATGTTTCAGGTAGCAGATGACTCTCGCTCTCCGAGTCCTCCTGTCCAGGGCCGGTCGTCAAGAAACAGTCAGTATCAGGACTTGGTGCCTGTCGGTGAGTGTGCAATCACATGTTTACAAAGTGTGCACACACTGACATGTCATAACACATTACACATCTGTGTTTTTACAGCTTATAATGAGAAGATTGTCGCATTTCTGAGACAGCCCAACATTTTTGAGATTCTGCAAGAAAGACAGCCAGAGCTCGTGAGAAACCACTCCCTTAGGTACATTTTCTTACAGTTTTGTGTTTTAACAACAGATGTCGACAGAGTGCAGAATTTCGTACTGTACATTTAAGAGATTGTGCTAAATGCTAAAATGTTTCATGGGTTTTTTTTGGTTTAGAGAGAAGGTTCAGTTCATCCGCAATGAGGGGCCAACTGGGTTGGCCCGTCTGTCCAGTGATGCAGACCTAGTTATGTTGCTCAGGTTAGTGTGCACGGCATTTGCATCATATTACTTACAGCTAATCATATGCCTTTGCTTGAGATATGCATGCATTAGTTGACTGTGTATGTACTGGACACTACCGTTCAAATGTTTGGGGTCAGTATAAGATTTTTTTGAAGTAAATACATTTACTCAACAAGGACACATTAAATTGATCAAAAGAAACAGTAAATATGATTATAAAAACACTGAGATGAGTTTATAGTAAATATAAGTAATTATGATTTCTATTTTAAACAAATGCTGTTTTTAAACATTATTTTCATCAAAGAATCCTGATAAAATGTATAAAAGTTTCCACAAAATTTTAAGCAGCACAACTACTTTGCTAATAAACCATGATAATAATAAAAAAAAATTCCATTGAGTAGCAAATCAGCATATTTGAATGATTTCTGAAGGATCATGTGACACTGAAGACTGGAGTAATGATGCTGAAAATTCAGATTTGCCATAACAGGAATAAATTATATTTTTGAAATATATTAAAATTGTAAATAGTTATTATAAATTGTAATAATATTTCACAATATTACTGTTAGTATTGTATTTTTGATCAAATAAATGCAGGCGTGATGAGCCTAAGAGATTTCTTTCAAAAAAACAAATACAAAACAACAACAAAAAGAAAAAAAAAAAAAAAAAAATCTTTAAAACTTAAATCAACCCAAAATTTTGAATGGTAGTGTATATAGTATGTAAAAAAAAGAAAGAAAAGAAAAAGCTGTGTACATATTTTATGATGGCCTGACTTTGTACACCTAGCTCAGGTTAGAATACACACACACCTGTTACCTGGCCCTATCTCCTTGCAGCCTGTTTGAAGAGGAAGTGATGTCTTATGTGCCGCCCAATGCCTTACTGCTCTCCAGCTACTGTCATGCCTCCCCACAGAGCTCCCCTGGTGAGACGTCACATGACCCGGACTCACATTTTAACAAATAATTCCCTGTTTCCTCCCTTTTTCCTGCCTTGTATCCTCCATTACAAGACTAAATAATGAAACTAAATAATGAAAGTGGAAGACCCTGTGGACTAATCTGTATGTTTACCTGATCATGCATGTGTTTAAAACAGTTATTCTGATTGTGATATATTTGCTTTTAATTGTTAGAAGAGCCTTGCATTGTGGATGGATTTGCCAAGGTAGGTTTCAACCCACTTTTCATTCCAGCTATTCACAGCTTCTCTTGCTCACAGGAACTCCACGAGCCAGTGCTCGAGCCCCTGCACCCTACAAGCGGGATTTTGAGGCCAAACTAAGAAGCTTTTACCGCAAAATGGAAACCAAGGGCTACGGGCAGGGGCCGGGAAAAGTGAAGTGAGTTCCATCTTCAAAAACATTCGATAATTCTCCATCAACAACAAGCATCTGATGTCCACCAGTTCGGTGGTTTGTTGAAAGAACTGAAATTCTGTCTAATGGAGTCTAATAGTTGAAATAAGTCAAATATATTGATAAATGTCCATTTTGTCAACTTTAGTTTCCATTTTTTCTACCAAGAAATTAGCATTGTAAACATTAAATAACTTGGTTGTTTCTACAACTAGACTTTGTTCTAGATCTTTAGACCTAACAATATGGTGCATCAAGGTAAACTGTCAGCACCAAATATGGAGCCACTTTGATATGCTTAAATTAATCTGTCCTTCTCTGGATTCTCTGGTTTATTGTGTCCTGATGTGGTTTTACTTACCTTTCCAGGTTAATAATTAGAAGAGCCCACCTGCTGGAGGACGCTTTCAACCAGATCATGTGTTATTCTCGCAAAGACCTCCAGAGAAGCAGGCTTTACGTCAGCTTTATTGGAGAAGAAGGGTTGGTATTATTGAGATCATTTAAGTGACGTTTCTACATTGCAACAGGTGTTTATCTCATACAAATTGTAGCTGTAATTTAAATGAAGATGCCCCTTTAGTTCATTTTACATTTTGTAACCTAAACCACATTACAGTATTATTACATATATTTGTGCGTTGATTGGACATTATCAGTGCATTATATATAGCCGTCTGTTTTTCTTCAGGCTGGACTATAGTGGTCCATCCAGAGAGTTCTTCTTCCTGGTCTCCCGTGAGCTCTTTAACCCATACTATGGACTGTTTGAATACTCAGCTAATGACACTTACACTGTGCAGATCAGCCCCATGTCAGCCTTTGTGGACAGCCATCATGAATGGTAATCGATCAATGGATGGATGAATTGAATTGAATTTACAGCAAATGTCCAAAGGGTATAATAATCTTGTCTTCTTTAGGTTCCGGTTCAGCGGACGCATCCTGGGGCTTGCTCTAATTCATCAGTATCTGTTGGATGCATTCTTCACCCGACCCTTCTACAAAGGCCTTCTTCGCATGTGAGTCTTCACTTGTTTTAAGCACTTGAGGATGTAACATCTGTTTAATTCTGTCACTTAATATGTAATTTATATCTCTCTGCAGTCCATGTGATTTGAGTGATCTAGAGTTTTTGGATGAGGAGTTCCATCAGAGTCTCCAGTGGATGAAGGACAATGACATTGAGGATATGCTAGACCTCACCTTTACTGTCAATGAGGAGGTGTTTGGACAGGTATTAACAGCTTATGGGTGTGTGTTTGTGTTTTGGCTGATAGCGTCAGTATATTTAGAGGACTAATCTGGGATTTAGCGAATCTCTCAAAATTTGATGGTAAATATTTGACATTTACATCTAGAAAAGCCCTAAACCCCCACAAGAGTAACATATCTGCGAAAGTGTTATTTTAGTATTATTTATAGACCGTTAGTATGTATTATTATGAATAGTAGTATTCATATTCTGAATTATTATTGTTTAATAATTAATATTAATATTTTTTTTATATTTTCAATTTTATTTTAAAATTCAAAGTAGTATTCAAAGTAATTTTATGTGCTTTTGTCATTTTATTGTCTATTTAGCATTAATTATTTTTTTTGTTTCAATTTTTGGGTTTTACGTTTTTCATCCAATATTTATATTTCATTTTGTTTCAGCTTTATTTCAGTTACCGTAAAACATTAAAACAAGTTGGCGCTGATAGCCTAGTGGGCAGTGCGCCAACATATAATGCTGTTGCGTTATGGGCGTCCCGATATCGAATCCCAGCCCCTCGCCCCCACTTCACTTCCTATCTGCTCCATACTATCATAATAAAGGCAAAACGGCAAAAACAAATCTAAAAACAAAACCCATTAAAACATACTTTTCATATTTTTTCTGTTTTTCTATATATTACTTTTCTAAGTGAAATTATTTGCATTTTTAGTGATATGATTGTAGTTTTCGCCAGGCAGTTAGTAAAAAAACAATAAACAATTCCCGCAAATAAACAAGCAAACATCCTAGCCACAACTCAGACAACAGCCTAAAACCACATGTTAAATCTATTTTAGTTAGCCAAGGTTATTGTGAAATGATATAATATGAGAGTGAACTGGAGGCTTCTTTATGTCAGATTACAGAGCGTGAGCTGAAGCCGGGTGGGTCTGGCATCCCTGTGTCAGACAAGAACAAGAAAGAATACATTGAACGCATGGTGAAGTGGCGGATTGAGAGAGGTGTGGCCCAGCAGACAGAGAGTCTCGTGAGAGGATTCTATGAGGTATGATGTCATCTGAGTCTGTGAATATTAATGACTCATGATTTAACTCTGGTTGATCTGAGACCATGTGACTGTACAGGTGGTGGACGTCCGTCTCGTCTCCGTGTTTGATGCCCGAGAGCTGGAGCTGGTCATTGCTGGGACAGCGGAGATTGACCTAGCCGATTGGAGAAGCAATACAGAATACAGAGGAGGTATTTTGCTGGAAGAGATTCAGGTGTTGTTTTACACCAGGGTATTATAATGTATATATTACAACTGGATATCATAATGTGACTTTATCTCTGTCTTTGAAGGTTACCATGATAACCACATAGTGATTCGATGGTTCTGGGCTGCAGTGGAGCGTTTCAACAACGAACAGAGACTACGACTCCTTCAGGTACACCCAGATCTCACAAACAGAATGGATTTGATATACTACCATTCAAAAGTTTGAAGTTTTTTTTTTTTTTTTTTTTTTTTTTTTTTTTAATAATTTAATATTTTTATTCAGCAAGGATATGCTAAATTGATTAAGAGTGACAATAAAGACATTCATATTGTTACAAAATATTTCCATTTCAAATAAAATTAATACTTTTGATTAGCAAAGATGCATTCAATTTACCAAAAGTGACAGTAATGACATTTATAATGTTTTAAAAGATAAATGCTGTTATTTTGAAATTTCCACTAAGCAAACAATCCTGCCAAAAAATTGTCACAGTTTCCATAAAAATATTAAGCAGAAATTGTTTTCAACATTGATAATCTTAAGAATTTTTTTCTTGAGCTCAACATATTAGAATGATTTCTAAAGCACATTGTGACACTTAAGACTGGAGTAATGGCTGCTGAAAATTCAGCTTTGCCATCACAGGAATAAATTACATTTTAAAATGTTAAAATAGAAAACAGTTATCTTAAATTGCACTAATATTTCACAATATTACTTTTTTTACTGTATTTTTTTTTTACTAAATAAATGCAGCCGTCAGCGCTGATAGCCTCGTGGCTAGTGTGTCGACATATAGAGCAACTGCGCTCACAGCGACCCGAGTTCGAATCCCGCCTCGAGGTCATTTGCTGATCCCGCTCCCCTCTCTCCACCCCAATACTTTCCTGTCATCTCTCCACTGTCCTCTCAAAATAAAAGGCACAAAAAGCCCATAAATATAACTTAAATAAATGCAGCCTTGAGAGCATAAGAGACTCTTACTGAAAAGAATCTCACTGACTGAAATTAGCCAAGTCAACATGTACTTTGCTTTTTTCCAGTTTGTTACAGGCACTTCCAGCATTCCCTATGAGGGTTTTGCCTCTCTGCGGGGCAGCAATGGCCCACGTCGATTCTGTGTGGAGAAATGGGGCAAAGTGTCCTCCCTCCCACGGTATTTCTGAGCTTTTTTATGTCTAGTGTCTCACACAAGGATATTACAGTAACTTTTATGTGTTAACCCATACTGATTATCAATCAGCTAATGCCACATTGTCTTTATATGTTGGTGTAGGGCTCACACCTGCTTTAACCGCCTGGATCTCCCTCCCTACCCCTCCTTCTCCATGCTCTACGAGAAGATGCTCACTGCTGTGGAGGAGACCAGCACCTTTGGTCTGGAGTGAGCTCCCATCACAGCAAAAGTGCTACTGATTTTTTTTTCTTTCCCAGTTCTCCACAACCTGGCTTACCATGCAGGCTTCATTCTCATCCCTCACTCTTCCCTACGACCTTGGTAACCGGACACTTATATAATTGTTTTGTCAAAGTCTACGGAACTGGAATATATGCCATCAAATGACTCACTGGGCATGTGCCAACTCCTGCTCTATATTGTATGGAATCAAAATCCTGTGATAACTGCATTCAATTCCTCACACAAAAACAGACTTATACAGTCACAGAAATCAGAGCTGGAGTCTTGATCATCTGGTTTTGTTTTTTCTGTCTGGACCAGTACATTGATCTACGCTGTAGGGTTTTGCCTTTTGTTCTTGAATGAGCTGCGTTTTTAAGTCCAAAGATGTTTCATTACAGTAATGTAGTCACTCTATTTCATATCTGTAGGGTTTGAAGGAACAAACCTGTGGTAGTTTTTGCTGCAGGGCTTTGTCATGGCAATATGATGTCAGTTAAGACCAACTTTTTTGGTTTCAGAGGTTTCACTTCGGCGGTCTTGGTTTTGAGGGGTCTGACCTAAATGATATTGATCTGGGCTGCAGCTCTGAAAACACAACTTTTTTTCCCATCTTTTAAGAGAATGAAAACACACAAAACAGCATGCACACTCTTTTATAGAGATTCTTGCACCAAATGTAGTGGTTGTAGAATAGCAACCTGAACGTCCTAGGTTCAAACCGTGAGCTAGAAATTTCCTCTATCACCTCTTGTGCCCTTGAGCAAGACATTTATCAGCAGACTGTTCCAGGGGACTGTAAATGTAGTAATTCACTCTGGTTGGTCGACACTGATTAACTAACAAACACCAACACTTAGTACTTTGTTACATGCACACATTTTTAAATCCACTTCAACCTTTTATGCAACCCACAAATGTTACTAAAAACTATGAATGTATAAACACTGATCACCATGTGCAATATGTGCTACAGATTTTTGTGTATCAGGAAAGGTAGATTTGTTCTTAGAGTCCATCATAAGGAGACCTATTGCTCTAAACTGTCGAGACACACAAACAGTGGCCTTGAAATTGTCTTTATTAAAATTTATAGTTGGGTATAGTTAATAACATGGTGATGTGTGCAGTCCACTGGAGTAACTTAAAACCAGGGCTGCAGTGGTTAAAAAACCAGTAAAACGTGAACAAGCTTCTTCTGGAAAATGAAAGGGGGAAAAAAACAAAGAAAAAGATGAGAAGAACTGTTTAACATGTGTAGGGAGCAGCAAGCCAAACTGAAACACCCTTGCACAAGAGGTATGAAGTGTTTTGGAAATATGGCATAATAATGGAACAATCTCTTGAGCAGGAATTTCCATTTAATGGACCACAGATAGAAGCTCAACACTAAAATAAAGGATGAAAAGGTCCTCATTTTTGGGTGACAAGTTGCACCCCTCGTTTACAGACATGTAGTTTTTTTCTGTGGTCCCTTTCCCAAGCCCTCACACACACACACACACACACACACACACACACACACACACACACACACACACACACACACTCACTCAGCAATACAAGGAAATCACACATTCACACCATACAAATGCTGATCTGGCCAAAGCACGGATCCTAGGATATGGATTTGTCTTGAAACAGCTCCTTTCTCTATGTAATTGATCTTTGGATAAAATACTGCATGCAGGGTCAAAGAAGCAGTACCTGAGTTTGACCCTTAGATGGCGTTGTGTTATAGTTTGATATTGCATGCTGGAATTAGTGAAACAACACGAGTCCAGATTAGTTTAATTTGCATGAGAAATTGCTGAATCGGGTGGGATGGGATTGGGGACAAAAATAAATAAATAAAATCACTTTCATACTTTTCATACTTCATCTGCGCTGTTATTTAAACTTTATGGGTCACTGATCGTGTAAAACGATGCCGATGAAAGAGCCATCACTTGAAAACTGTTGGTGATAATGTGAACCTGCATGCGTTCCATGATGTGTCCATATTTGTATATAGCTGTAATATATGTCAGTCTTGTCCCGTGTTTAAATTATATTTTGCACTGAATGTACCAGTGATTTGAGTCCTAGTCTGGTCTCTTTTGGTGTTTGTCTTTGTGATTTGTGACTGCTTTCATTTGTTTGGCAAATACTGGTACTTTTCCCATGATTTACATTTTATCTTTCTGCTAGGCCAATCAAACAACAAAAAAAGTCAAAAAAGTCAGTTTACTCACTGAGTTTGTCTTTCCATGTTCCAAAGTCCAGTACTTCAGTTGTCAACTGGAGGGACAAGAAAACCCAAAGATTCAGACCTACAAAGTTCCAGTTCCTCAGCATCTGACAGTATTACAACATGCAAAACAGATAAGCAGGAACACTCAAACAAAAATAATTACTGATTCCCAAATGCATGAGTAGTATGTTTATTATGAATCATTCGTTACCCTGGACCACAAAACCAGTCATAAGTTGCACAGGTATACATTGTATGAAAATAAAAAATGATTGATTTTTCTTTTATGCCAAAAAATCATTAGGATATTAAGTAAAGGCCATGTTCCATGAAGATAGTTTGTAAATTTCCTACCTACCTACCTATTTCCTTCCTACCTATATGCATTACTAAGAACTTAATTTGGACAATTTTAAAGGCGAATTTCTCAATATTTAAAATTTTTTGTACCCTCAGATTCCAGATTTTCAAATAGTTGTATCTCAGCCTCAGTATCTCAGATGATAAACCTTACAAAAAAAAAAAAAAACGACCCTTATGACTGGTTCACATTTTAAGAATGCATAATATATCAGCACCATATTGTATATTGTTGATTACGTGATCGGTATTACTGGATAGGCTATTTTATTTAATTTATTTGCTTATTTTAATATTGAGATAGCTATCACAAATTTAATGAAACAGTACTAGACCTATATCGGCCATTTATCGTTATTGCCAAAGCATTAAATTACTGATTAATTATCTATCTGTCTATCTGTCTATCTGTCTGTCTGTCTGTCTCTGTCTGTCTGTCTATTCAATTCAGTTCAATTCAAAATTGCTTTTAAGCTTAGTATACGTGTACAAAAAGATCATTATTATAATATAATAACAATAATAATATTAAATGAACATCATATTAATAGAATGGAATATTATAACATCTTAGAAGTATTAAACTGTAACAAATTAGATCGTGTGAACATTTGATACCACAGTCTTTAACTTACATAGAAACACACATACATACTAAGGATCACTGTGGTGGACAGTAGGGCAACACACTGAGGTCAGACACAACACACATTCACCTGCTGTCTCTCAGGCTGTGGCACATCCACACGTATCTCGCAGCCAGTGCTGCTGTCTGTCCCTCTCCTAATACTATCTTTATTTGTTCTGTTTCACTAATGGCTGTAAAGTTATTTTTTAAGTTGGTGAATTTGTTGAAGTAGAGGTTTCTTATGGATATGCATTTATGACAGTGAAGGAGGAAGTGCGTCTCTGTCTCGATCTCTCCTGTCTCACAGTGAGCACACACTCTTTGCTCTCTGGGGAACCAGCTCTTTCTGTGTCTGCCAGTCTCGATGGTTAGACTGTGCTCACTGAGCCTGTACTTGGTCAGGATCAGTCTCTGCTTTGTGTCTCTGACACTCTGGAGATAATCTTCCAATTCATAATTTGATTTTAGAGTTCGATAGAATTGTAATTTACTTTGCAGTTTCCTGATCCCAATGTTCCAGATATGTATTTTTAGATTGTTTGATAATTTGATTTATTTTGATGTTCGGGTGAGTGCTGGTTTGAGACTGGTTAGTGTTAGTTAGTCAGGTTAGTAAGTCTCAGAACTAGCTGACTGAGTGGACTCTTTTCAGGGTTCAGTTCTTGGGTTTGTAGTGCTTTAAAATGTAGCGATTCTGTGGGACTTGATTTAAGATGCACCCAGAATTTGAGAGATCTTTTATGCATATTGATAATGAATGGGAATCGGCCTAATTCTGCCCTACATGTGTTATTGGGTGTTTTTCTTTGTAGTTTTAGAATCATTTTGCAGAATTCTGTGTAGGGCTTCTGTTGGATGTTTGTCCCATCTAGTGTAGCTCTGATCACTGAGTGGACCCCAAACCTCACTTCCATACAGTGCTATGGGCTGAATCACACTATCAAAGATTTTACACCAAATTGGAAGCAGCATTTCAATATTTTTGAATTTGGTCTTGATTGCGTATAGAGCTCTTCGAGCTTTATCTTTGAGAGCATTCACTGCCAAACTGAAACTCCTCCATGCAGTGATGATCAGGCCGAGGTAAGTGTACTGCATCGTGTGTTCTAGGGCGGTGCTGCCTCTGAACTGGTATCTGTGTTCCTGACACCTGGGCTTTTTCTGAAAGACCAGAATGTTGGTCTTTTTGAGATTTACTGCCAGGGCCCAGTTCTGGCAGTAGTTCTCCAGCAGGTCCAGGTGCTGCTGTAGTCCCTGTGGGGTGGATGACAGCAGCACCAGATCATCTGCGTACAGCAAAAGCTTGATGTTTTTGTCTTGTAAGTCCTGTAAGTCTTACTTGTAGAGTAAGTTATGCCTTGTCTGTCTGTCTGTCTGTCTATCTGTCTGTCTATCTATCTATCTATCTATCTATCTATCTATCTATCTATCTATCTATCTATCTATCTATCTATCTATCTATCTATCTATCTATCTATCTATCTATCTATCTATCTATCTATCTATCTATCTATCTATCTATCTATCTATCTATCTATCTATCTATCTATCTATCTATCTATCTATCTATCTATCTATCTATCTATCTATCTATCTATCTATCTATCTATCTATCTATCTATCTATCTATCTATCTATCTATCTATCTATCTATCTATCTATCTATCTATCTATCTATCTATCTATCTATCTATCTATCTATCTATCTATCTATCTTATTGATTTTGATTATCTATCTATCTATCATTTTGATTATCTATCTATCATCTATCTATCTATCTATCTATCTATCTATCTATCTATCTATCTATCTCTACTTGTCTATAAATCACTTAACAATCAAGCTCCTTCTTATTTATCTGATTTACTCCACCCTTACTCCTCGAAGAGGGGACTTAGATCAGAGGGCAAATTTCTCCTTCAGACCCCTAGAACCCGCTTAAAAACCAGAGGATCTAGAGCCTTTGAAGTGGCTGGTCCCACCCTCTGGAACAACTTACCTGTTCACATCAGAACTGTATATTATTGTATGTTGTGCAGCACTTTCGTCGGCCTTGTTTCGTGCTTAAATGTGCTCTAAAAATAAAACTGAACTTGAACTCTATCTATCTATCTATCTATCTATCTATCTATCTATCTATCTATCTATCTATCTATCTCTGTGTCGGCCTGTCTGTCTGTCTGTCTGTATACCTATCTATCCTCTATCTATCTGTCTGTCTGTCTGTCTATCTATCATCGTCGGTCTATCTGTCTGTCTGTCTGTATATCTATCTGTCTGTCTGTCTATGTCTGTCTGTCTGTCTGTA